GCAGTTCCACTGGTGTTATTGCAGGAAGCTGCAATTTGTTGATGTATCTTGTAAAATTCTTGGACATGGTGCCCAGTGCCCCAATGACAATGGGTATCACTGTTACATGCTTCATCCATAGCCATGTAGTTTCTATGGACAGATTGTTGTTGTTGTTGTTGTTGTTGTTGTTGTTGTTTGCTCATCTCTCCATAAGGCAAATGCTGAAGGTAGGAAAAGGAGAAAGAGGGAAGGGGGAAAACATCTCCACAATGTTCCTGTAACCTTCGGGGGGAGGATATTGGGAGGTCCATGCGCACTGTCCTCTCCTATCTGCCCCCTTGTCTGACATTTATTTAACTGTGTACCTCACCAAAGGTCACTGTGAGATGGACATCTACACAAAGAGCTAGCTGATGATAGATGATAGATAGATAAATAGATAGAGTTTTCATTCATGGACAGGTAACATATTGTGAAATAAATTAGAAATGGAGTTCTGACCTCCAGAAGCTTCAAGGAAGACTTTCATCCATCCCACTTTCTTCCTGTGGTGTGAAGCTGAAAGCCACCCCTGCATTCATTCCACTTGGAGGATCTGATGATAAGATTTTTACTAGATATGATCATTTTTCTCCTACAGATTATTTATGTGTTTAGAAACCCAAAGGATGTCTTGGTTTCTACCTATCATTTTACCAAAATTACACCTGTAAGGGAAACACCAAAAGATTTTGATACATTCTTGGAGTGGTTTTTGTCTGGCAAAGGTAAGAAGAACCTGATCATGACATGTTTTGTCAATTTTTGTCTTGGATAAGAAATTATGAATACATTTCAATTTATTTCCCACAAAGAACAAACAACCCACCTTGTCCCTTAAGTATAAGTATAATGATTCTCTATATTCATGCAATAATTGTGTAAACTCTTATGAAAATGGTTTAAAATGGGATGAATGGATAGAGATGACTGAAGGATTCCTAGGACAACTCATGATGTAAAAGGGGAGGGGGGGAGGAGAGGCAAGAGAAGACAGCTTATTAAGGGAGAGTAAGAACAAATACGAGGATAAAATTAACAAAAGTTAATATATACATTTGAAAAGTAAAGAGTTTCATTTCTCTCCTATCAGTGCCCAGTAGTTTATGGCTAGACCATGTAGAAGGCTGGTATACTCATAAGGGTGATTTCAACATTCTCTTCCTTTCTTATGAAGAAATGAAAAAGGTAAGATGTGTAAATGTGTAATGCAATATGAACAACCTTGAAGCACAGGAGGCTTTAGAAAGAAAGGATTGTGTAGAATAACTTATTCAGGAAAGGAGCAGACAGGTAATTACAGAACTGCTCTTAGTTATCTCTGTGAACTCCTGAAGGACTGGTGAAATTTCTGAAAAAAAGTAAATGTCACTTCTTCAAAAGAAAAGAGGCGGATCCAGGAAACTAGTCTCGACATCAGATTAATGAACAATATGCACTTATCTAGGTATGCTAGAGTTCAAAGAGCCAGCATGTATCTGTTGAAAATCAATGTTGCAAAAAAAAAAGTTGATCTCTTTGATAGAGTTACTGATAAGTAAGGGAATCCAATATGGGACTCTCTACCTATAATTCAGAAAAATATTAGCCAAAGTGTCTCATAATATTCTACTGTTTTGGCTCAAAAGAAATTGACTCAACTCAACTGCATTTTCAAGAGATGTCAAGGCATTTAGCCTAGCTATAGAATTGGCCAGTCTCTGATGCTGTTTGTTAAGAATGTAAGAGTCTGAATCTTAAGAAAATTGTGCACATACAGTAAATATACTGAAATCCAAGATTATTCTCAGTGATTTGCCTCTTAGAAACCTTCGCAACAGTCCTAAGGAGTACCTCTGTTTTTAATCCATTGATATTGCTTTCTATGTGCATGTAGAGTTTTCATTAAAAAAATAAACACAAATGACTTTATCAGGGTAATTTTTTCAGTAAGAAAAGAAAGAATTAAAGACTGTGATATGTGATAGTGATATGTGAGATGTGTTTCCATCTTTTCTCCATTGTTGTGGATGACCTAATATAAAGCTGTATCAAATTGCAGGATCTGAGAAGTTCTGTACTGAAAATATGCAACTTCTTAGGGAAAAAACTAAGTGGAAAGGAGGTGGATGAGGTAGTGGATAAAGCTACATTTGATAACATGAAGGTGGATTCCAGAGCAAACTACACATTCATGCCTCCTGACATTGTAGATTGCAGAAAAGGAGACTTTCTTCGCAAAGGTAAATCAATAGTAATTCATACTCTGGTTTTCATATACCAGGCTTCATCTTAAACCAGGATTACTGCCTTCATTTGAAAGATTTAAGTGATATAAATGTGTCCTAACAACCACTATATCTGCTGCTGTCCATGATGTTGTGCTAGTCTCATCACCAGCCTATATCTGAGGCAGCCGTAGGTCTTGCTTAGCTATACCAATGTTAAAGTAGTGTTCTTGTCATTCTATCAAATTATTTGGCATGAATATAATCTGAGTGTCTCAACGATCAGTCTGTTGCCTGCATAGTCTAATGATCTTTTGGGAATGGGATTGTTCTAGCTCACACTGGCCACTTTAGGGTGAGGGAGACATAAACTCTTCACTTTCTATCCTGGGCACTGTCCTCCTCCAGTCTCAGAACTGCCTCCTTTAAGCCTGCAGGATTAAATGATGATATAAATAGCCTCTAGTTTAATTCAGTACAAAAACTATTGACATTTTTAACTATTGTTTCCCAGGCACTATTGGGGACTGGAAGAATCTCATGACTGTTGCCCAGAATGAAAGATTTGACCGTGTCTTTAAGAAGAGGATGGAAAAGCTGCCCTTCAAGTTCTGCTGGGATATTCAGGAGGATCCTGAGCCTATTTCCAGTTTAGTGGATGAAAATAATGTGTGATATAAACTTTCAAATGACTTGAATCAGAGATGACATTCCAAGAATGGTCTTTATGTAACCTTGTAATATTTGATTCTCAACTTTAAGAAGATGATTGAACAAAGCATCATTAAATTCTCTGCTATTAATAAAATAGAAACTGCAGAACACAGTTTAAAGTACTTCTCTTTGAAATCTTATTATCATTTGTATTTTTTAATTCTAGAAATGAGGGGAAACAGGCGAGAGTGCCAGCTTTTGATGTCCAGCTAGGTCCTTCACATACTTACCATGCATTACAATTTGCCTAGTCCCAGTATGGGTTTTCTTATGCAGCTCAGGTTCTTTCTTCATTGCCTTGAGTCAAAAGTAGAACTATACTGGCATAAATAAAGATTCTCTAGAGGCCTGCCTTGTCTTGACCACCTGGATCATAACACACTGAAGGGATGATGGATAGTTCTTGGAACAAGCAGAATTTGTATTAAATAATCACTTCATTTGTACTGGACAAATATCTTTGCAATATATGACTGAGCTAGCGGTTCCTACAGCAATAGAACATGTAGAAAATTGTGCAAGGCAGATCTTGTAATGGCAGAAGGAGAAGTGGTGCCAGCTGGTGGGCAGGCAACAATATCTCTAAACATAGGGATCACAGTTCCCCATGGCAATTATGGGTAAATTGCACTTAGGTCTGGTTAAGCCCTTAAAGGAATACAAGTGTTAGGAAGGCGATAGATGCTACTTATCAAGAAAGTAGCATCTACCGCCCTAAAGATCAAAGATCCTATTACACAATATTAGTATATGCAGGATGTAGTCCTTCCAGGACAATACTGTAGTGCTCAGCTAATTTGTGAAAAATTAAGTTTACCAGTTGTCTAGAGAATAGCAGGTCCAAGTCAGCGTACAAGCAGAAGGGACAAAGGGTTTGAATCAACAGATAATAACCTCTTTCCAAGACAAAAGTTCTGGGTAATGTATTCTAATCAACCAAATCAAACTGGAGAGAGTTTAAATAAATGGGCAGGAACAATTTGTTGAGCTTTGCTGACCAATAATACTTCTCCAGTATGTTTGGTTGTATTCAAGTTAAAACATAAATAATAATATGTTTTTATTTCTGCAGATAATACATCTTGGAAAAAAGCATCTGTGAATATACCTATTGAAAATTACTAAGATGAGACAAATTGCTTTTCTTTTTTAAACATAGCCAGCAGAGGGAGCTCACATTCCTGGCTGGCTGAGATCATGTGAGGGTAATATTCCACTGTGAGTCAGAAAGCTCTTTGCATCTTGCAGCTCTAGCTCAAGGACCATGCGAGAAACCTACTTTAGTACATGCTACTAATAAAGTGACCAGACTTGGCAGGATCATTAGCCCTTAATATGGAACCAGCACTTGGAAGAGGAATAGAGCAGAAAACCTCAACAGATATTGGATTGTTTCACAGAAACCAGTGACCCCAAATATCTAAGGCAAATGCAAAAATATAATTAGACATTGAACTTGGATTATATCAAGTCAGAAACTATTTTTCTATAGCAATCAAAGTATTTTTCCTAGCAGTCAAAGTAATTTTATATTAAAGTGGTCTATTTAATAGTGTTACTTATAAGCAAAAATGGATTATGCAAAATTATTGGCAGAATATTACTAGCTGCTACTACTCTAATAAAGGAAGAATAAGAGAAGACAGTATATAACCATATCAGGGGTGAAATGTACTTACCTTCGCTACCAGTTCTCAAATGTGAGAGCGTGTGCACGCTTGCTCCGCTCGCACACGCCACCTCAGCGCATGCACAGAATGTCAAAAATGGACGTGATGATGTCTGGGCAGGTGGGCGGAGCCTGCTACTGAGCGTACCTGAAAGGTAAGTGAGTGTGTGGGAAGTCCTCTGTGCCACGCAATTTAGATTTGAAATCCTGCTTTCTAGCTAATATAAATCGCACGTCACAGCTGATTGTTGGAGATACTGGTTTCATTTTTTTACTACTGGTTCGGGCGAACCAGTCCATACCAGTAGCACTTCACCCCTGAACCATACATACACTTACCTTTCAGGTANCAGCCTACATTTGAGGCAGCCGTAAGCTTTTCTTAGTTGTGCCAATGTTGGTGTTCTCCTGTTCACCCTAACAAATTTCTGGTGTGGATATAATCTGACCTGTTTCAATGATCATTCTGTTGGTTGCACAATGTAATGATTCTTCGGGAATGGAATTGTTTTATCTCATACAGACCACTTTAGAACGGTGGAGAGTGAACCTCTTCACTCTCTACCTTGGGTAATCTCCCCCACCAGGAGTGTGGGGAGTCACATGGTTAGGACGTTGGGTTGAAAGTTAGCAAGCCCATGTTTGAAATCCGAGTGCTGCTGCGTGGTGGGGTGAGCTCCTATCATTCACTCTAGCACCTTGTTGGGAACTTGAAAGGAGCACCTCTCCCGGGGCATCTCCCTGGAAACAGTGATGTCACTGACTAATCCTTTCAACCTGGAAAGGATAATCTCTTAAGCATTGAACCAACTGGGTGAACTCAACAACATTTAGAACCTCACTGGGAGATCATTAATTCCATGACTAAAGTAATGAAGAGGCCTCTAAAAACACAGTGGCAGCACAGCTTTGGTTTCCAAAGTTGCAGCTGAACAAATCACAAGACTTCTGGAACACTGTCCTTTGGACGAATGAGACCAAAGGGGAGATGTTTGGCCACAATTCAAAGGTCCATGTTTGGCAAAAACCAAACACTGGATATCAGCACAAACATCTTAAACTAACCATCAAGCATGGTGATGGAGGGGGGATGATTTGGGCTTGATTTGTGTCACAGGGCCTGGACACCTTGCAGTCACTGAATTGTCCGGCAACTCCACTAAATACCAAAGTATTCCAGAGTCACATGTGAAGCCAGCGGTCTGACAGCTAAAGATTGGCCAACATTAGGTCATGCAACAGGACAATGACCCTAAGCACACCAGCAAAAATACCACAGAATGGCTGAAAAGGAAAAGAATTAAGGTATTGCAATGGCCTGTCAAAGTCCAGTCGTCAACCTGATTGAAATGTTACAGTGAAACCTCAAGTGAAACAAGTAAACAAATGCTCAGAAACCTCAATTAACCGAAACCATGTTGTAAAGAATAGTGGGCCAAAATTCTTCCAAAATTATGGAATCTTAAGTTTTACATACACAGCTTTTCCATTTTGGTTTTCTTTTTCAAAAATAAATCACGACATGGTGTAATGTCATTTTGCTCATCTGAGGTTGTATTTACTTTTAAGAACTGCTAAGGAGCAGATTTTTACTATGTTCTCAGACAAAAAACCATGGAACAGAAGCAGGGTATACTTCCTGTTTACATGACTGCATATACATTCAAACACAAACTTGGTCACAGAAAAATGCGTAAGAATGACCATTTTGGTGACAGGATGACATAAATAGCCTCTAGATAAAATGAATATGAAAACTGTTAAGATATTTTTAACCATTGTTTCCCAGGCACTGTTGGGGACTGGAAGAACCACATGACTGTTGCCCAGAGTGAAAGATTTGACTGTATCTTTAAGGAGAGGATGGAAAAGCTGCCCTTCAAGTTCTGCTGGGATATTCAGGAGGATCCAGANAGGACATGTTTTGTTAACTTGTGAGCTAGTGTGGGTAGCTGCCTGCATTCACTTCGTTTAGCTCTGTGTCTGAATGTTTTATTAACAAATAGGCAAGAGTACACAACAAATATTACATTGTTCCGATATGCTGGAATAGCAAATTCTGAAGTGTGAGGGGGTGGGGGGACACAAACAAAACAATGTTAATATTAGAAGGTCATGCCCAGCAGAAACAGCTAACAATCAAATTGAATATCAAACCCCATAAACTTATTTTTCCCAAGGTGACACACCCAGGTAGATCATACGCTTGCATGTCCAGTTGCTATCTTAACATATCTGGAGGATGTCAAGTTGAGGGATGCTATTTTTATCCTTCAAATACCAAACTGCATTGCTAACTAGTCTGCTTCTACTGCTTCTACATTCAATTCATGGTGCTGGTTTTGATGTTTAAACCCTTCATCAGATGGGAACATGTTATTTGAAGAATCTCCTCTCCCCAGTTGCAGCTATGCATTGCATCAAGTCCAACAGGAAAGACATGTGGGGGTCCCATCAGCTCGGGAGATTTGTCAGGCAGGATCCATGAGGAAAATCTTTTCTTCTGTGTTGTCTGCCATATGGAAAATCATTCCCCCAAGTCAAGGTTGGCCCCAGTCCTGGTGGTCTGCTGCTCTCAAACATGGTTTTGCTAATGAGCTTTGAGATCCCCTGATAGAATGGAACCTGTTAGATGAATGTATGAGAGTTACTTGATGAACTGTCTGTGACCTATACTGTCAATCTGTCTTTTTTTTCTTGTTTTTTTCTTGGGTTTTTTGACTAAGTATTATCATCGCTCTCTTACAGATTATTTATGTATTTAGAAATCCAAAGGATGTCTTGATTTCTAGCTACCATTTTCACAAAGTAGCAATCCAAATAGAAACCCCAAAAGACTTTAATATATTTTTTGAGAAGTTTTTGGCTGGCAAAGGTAAGAAGAATTTGATCATGATAATGTTTTGTCCATTTTTGTTTTGGATAAAAGACTATAAATATATTTCAATCCATTTCCTTCCAAGAGCAAACAATCCACTCTCTCTCCTTACCTAACAAATAATGATTCTCTATACTCGTCCACTAATTTGTCCAAACTCTACCCAAATATTTTATAGTAGAAAGTGTGCAGTCGTGGGATTCAATTCTTTTTAACTACCAGTTCTGTGGACTTGGCTTGATGGGTGTGGCATGGCGTGGTTAGTATGGCAGGTGAAGTATACAGTAAAATCTCCATTCCCACACCACTCCAGGGGAAGGTTGTGGCATAATCCCCATTCTCTCTCGATCAGCTGGGACTCAGGAGGCAGAGAATAGATGGCGGGGGAGCCAGTTAGAGGTGGAATTTACTGATTCTCCAAACTACCATATTTTTCAGAGTATAAGACAAACCTTTTTCCCTCAAAAAAGAGGCTGAAATCTGGGTGCGTTTCATACACTGAATACAGCATTTTTTGCCACCTGAAAACCCACCCCCTTCACTGAAGTGGCCGTGTATTGCTTTTAGGAGGCATACAGAGTGCTGCTGGGGGCTGAGGAGGGCAGAAATAAGCAAAAACCAGGCAATTTTTTGTTCAATTTCCCCCCCCCCCAGACCCTAGGAGCACTCTGTAAGACCCCTAAAGGGTAAGAGATAGGAGATAACCAGAGTTAGTTCTTTAAATATTTGAAGTTTTTAAAAGATGAATGTTAGTTAAAGAACCAAATACTCAAATGATATCATATGGGAAGCGATTTAAGGGTTGGAAATAGAAAAGAGATAACCAGAGTTAGTGCTTTGAATATTTGAAGAAGTATAAAAAAATTAGACCAGATTGCCCCCAAGTTCCAAATAAGAAAAATGAAAGAAACAAAAGAATACTGCAGCATCTTGACAAAACTTGCCCCATAACAAGTTGGAGGATACAATCACATTAGTTACTCTCATTTTTTCTCTGTCCTCTCCACATTCAGTGATGTTAGGGAAGCCCTTCAGTTGTGCTCTCATGCTTTGATTTTTAGGCCCACCAGGATCACAATGGAGGAAACTCAAGCATGAATAATGTAGAAAGAGCTGAGGTGGCACAGTGGTTACAATGCAGTACTGCAGGTTACTTCTGTAGACTGCCAACTGCCAGCAGTTTGGCAGATTGAATTTCACCAGGCTTAAGGTTGACTCAGCCTTCCATACTTCCGAGGTGGATTAAATGAGGACCCAGATTGTTGGGGGGCAATATGCTGACTGTGTGAACTGCTTATAGAGGACTGTAAAAGCACTATGAAGCAGTACATAAGTCTAAGTGCTATTGTTATTATTATTATCCCTGACACAGATAGTCAGCTGGATCATTGCATGACCGAGATGAACCTATCAGTGTTTTACATTCCGTGTTT